GGGTCCTCTACCTATTCCTGCTCCCCTTGATTTGCAACCAACAGATACAGACACACTTTACATTCTTACTAGATTCTTTCCAAAATGAATGCATTTCAGCCCTGATTATTTTGTAGCAGTGAGCTAAGGGTTTTATAAGCATTAGCTTGTTTAATTCTTTCAAGACTTTAATACTCTAAAATGAGTTGATTGGACTATATTTCTTTTTTATTTGTTGTTGAAAAAACTTCATGTTTACTTTGACTTTTTAAAAATTTAATTATAATTCCATTTTTGACTCAATTCTTATTGTAAATTTAGAATGACATTTTTTAGTGCAAACTCAATGGTAAAATCTAAATATTCATACATTGGTTGATTGATTATGTGTATTCAGCATGAAATAAATGTAGCAGTCAGAGATTATGCATAATTATAAATGCTGTTATGATGTTTTCTGAAACAATTGTTAAGTAAAACTAGCTAGCAACAAGATACTATCATTTTTTACCAGCATACTTAAATAAATAAATAAAATGGATACAAATATTTGTTCTACATAGACTATTTCTGAAAGGTTACAGGAAATTGTTAATCTAAATTTAGAACAAAGTCCTGTGGGTGGAGTTTTATTTTAGAATTTTATCATACATATTTATTTTTAATAAAAACAGGTGTTGTAGCGATTCAAGAAGGGGATCTTTATATGGGACATTATTGTTTTCTTTTCTTTTTCTTTTTTATAACTCTTTGCAAAAAAGTAAGAATTCATTTGCAAAGAGTACTACTTACAGTGCCATTTATTTATACATTAAATTTCTACTAGATTTCCATGACTTGTGACCTTGTTGTGTCAAAGCAGTAATGGATATGGTTCAATTTTGAACTACTGAATTTACCTAAGAACATTCCTATATGAAGCTGAGTCCAGAAGACTATAGCAGTGTTAAATCTTTAACCATTTTCTCCTTGAGAAAAAATGAAGTATAGCAGTGAGCAGAAGTGAAAAGCTAAATGTGATCCTCATATAAGATATTCATTTCAGAGAATGTATAGTTAGATAAGGTAAATAATGCCATTCAATTTTGAGAAAATGGATGCCAAGTGAATGTATATAGACTATTTTCCTTTTTATAGTGGGTTATAATACTGAAGTTCATCCTGGAAAATTACACCAAGCACATCAATGGCTAAATTGGTTGCCAAGATTGAGTTTATCATTCATTATAAGAGCAGAGTGATTATTTTGGCAAGCTTTCTTCTCCTGCAGGCATTTTTTAGGAGGTGGTTGATAAGATTATTTATGTGCACAGATGTGCTGCCTCAAAGAGTAGGAGAAGCACAGAGACTGTTTCAATATCATTACAGTCCTGTAAAAACTGGGGGAAATCACCGATGTGCTCATCAAAAGAGGTGAAATTCCTTTGTGCTTGTAGATGAAAACATCTCAAATATGTATAGTGTATAAAGCAAGTTTAATTTCTGAAGCAGAATCTGTTTTAATTCAACTGATGTTAATGACTGAATTATACATACACTGTATGGCAACACCAAGGTCAACAGTTCAAACAATTTTAAGATGAATTTTTTTACTGAAATCCACATTGTCTTTATCTCCTGAGGTCCCTCTTATCAACCCCCTCTGTTTATTTAGCATSAAAGGAGATTGTTCTTTGAAAGACTTGTCAGTCCCTACTCTGCTCTCAGTTCTCTGTGACTGCAAATTGATTGTTCCATGATTTGTACTCCTCTCTCTGGGCATTGAAGTTCAGGTGACAGCTTCTTAATTACCAGAACTTCCTTTTCCTTTTTGATTAATAGACAGATAATCTAGTAATTCTCCTTCAATCGCCAGGAATTTATGATCTCCACAACAACTCTTAAACTAGTCAATAGCTGTTAAGTACTCTTGTAAAATTAATGTCATAGTATTTCCACTTCATCTTGATTTAGTTAATGCTTCTTTCATAATCCACTTTTTTTTAGCTTTTATAATGTGATCCCTTTTCTCAAATAATTATAATTGGATTTTTAAAACCCGATAAAAACAGAAAAACAGAACTGTCTGAAATTTTGTACTTACCTATTACCAGTTTCCACTCTACCCAGTCAATGGAATTTTCCCTGGCCACTTTTTCTATTTTTTCAATTTCCCTTTTTACCTATTATGTATCTTGAAAGCCACTTTACTTTCAATCTTATTTTCCCCCTTTTTTTCTGATCTTACAGCATTCAATTTTGTTTTTCCTTTTTAAAGGTGTGGCCTAGTTTTCAAATGTTAGGAACTTCATTTTTAGAAGAATCAGTTTTCAGGATTTTTCTATTTTATTAATGTAACAACTAGTTGCTTTTGCTGTGTTTTCTGTGCAAAAGCAATATGTTTTTCACATCTTAAACACCATCTGCTTCCTATTTGTTTTACTTTCACATTCTACCTATCCAATCGGGTTTTCTAATATTGTTGAAAAATACCTTCCCAATAGTGTTTTCATATCTATGCCCCATTGTATTTAGTCCAAAATTAGAGGTTACCCAAAAAATGTGATTTGGAGATGT